AGATTCTCCTTTGCTTATTTGTGCCTTTGGCTTTTCCAGCCAACATCGAGACTTGAGCAAAAGACAATTGCAAACATGTTGGGTGCTGCGGTAAAATATTGCAGGATGTGCCAATTTTTGGAATCAACCTTCTTTATTACATTTCTGTAATAGCAAAGCGCCACAAATATGGCTTGAAAATCGGGTACTTATACATCCTGCAATATTGTTTTCTTACATTACCGTTCTCAATAGGATACGGCAAGGATTAGGTTGCGAATGGGCAGAGGCAATGCTAGATGCACACACTGATGCATCCTGTGTTGCATCTGGCCCTAGCAACTTTATAGAAGGTTTCCCATCTGAGGACTTGCAGTGTTTGATAAGCTTTAAGGTTTACATCATATGTTGCATTGCATATTGGAGTATTTAAGGTAGGGTAGTGAATATCATGCCTTACTGGAGGTACTCCCCATCACTAACTACTATTCATTATACTTTAATTATTGCATATTCATTTAGTTCTCTTACCTAAATATCGCACACAGAAACGACATCGCTGGACGCTTGGGCTTCTGGTGAGTGGTTACAAAGTGTATCAGGCAAGATGGCATTGGCTGATGGCTGCCACTCGAATAGGGCTCGCTGACTATCTCTCCCACCAAGCAGAGCAGGTCCAGTGATGACTGTGACATGACGCCCATGGAGGCAGCCTCAGACTCTGGAACGTTGTTGGTCGCTGACTGGTGCCTCTTGGCGGTGCAAGGCTCGGCATCAGAGTACTTACGTTTACTATAGGTCATTTGGTCAAAGATAGAAAAAGTCGATAGAAAGTTGCTAAAAATACAAGGATTGTTAGAGAATTTTAAATGGGAAAAATACCAGGGAAGAGGAGCGAGAGGGACAAACATCTGCCTGGGGTGGTTTATATAAGAAATTATCATCACCTTTTCCTACTCTTGCAATTGTGCGTGGGGTGTGGAGAGGTGACCATGGCCTAGCTGCGTACTTTTCATGACCCGGCGGCACCCAGGCCTTGCATTTGAAACTCGGCTTGGAGGAAATGGGCATGCTTTTGCATGTGGTTGTCGCTTTCGTCCTTAAATTTCTCAGCATCCGCCAAAGAGAAAGGCGGGTGGTCCTGCATCAACTACCTGGACTAGAGAATGCAATACTGCATCGTCAAGTGACAAGTAGGTACAAAAGCATTATTGCCATGCGACAGCGCCTTTCTCTAAAGCGCGCAAAGACAACTCGCTCCTGGAAAATAACCACTAATAAAGACATCTCACGTATCTTATCACATCCCATCGCTTGACATTTGCACGCCAGACCAGGAATAGCTGTCACTCATATGGCCCAGGAAAGTCCCTTGTTTTTTTTTCGTTGTGGTGTCGCATACCGCAGAGGGTACAGTACATGACAGCAGATTCTCGGAACGGATAACAGTTTGCCCAACTGAGGCAATGGTACAGAGGGGCTGACCATGGCACCATGTCCAAATTTAGGCAGTTGAGGATGTGCCGCACGCATGGCAAACAAAGTTGAACACATGCAACATTTCCTTTTTAGGGGTTTTTTAACTCTGCTGAAACGCCGAATTGAGCGGGCATCTCTTGGATTTGCAATGCCCCGATCCCCTCAGTCCATTTCATTTGCTCTTTATTGGAATTGCGGGTTCGTTTCACCAATAGAGAAATCAAGGTTTGGTTGCTGAACAAGGATTCAATTGTTGACAATGTTTGTAAATAAATATCTCATCCAATTGTACTGTGCTTCTGGTACCTACAAATTGCCAAACAATGTGCGCAAAAAGAAACTCAGGCGGCGGCGGACAACATGAACGTGATTTAATGTGCCTGTCATTGTTGTGACAGTGCGGGTCATCACTTTGAAAATGAGCTCATATGCACGTCAAAGCGCTTGTCTAAATTGACGCGGGGAGGGGGGGCTGGTGAATTTTTTTCTTCATTTTTTCAGTTTGAGCAATTCGATATACCCTTTTCCGATCCGTTTTCAGGCTTGCAATGACGGCACTTGAGGAGTTGGCCGATTTATGCACGCAAATCTGATACAGTGGTGCAGAGATTAGTCTGCACCAAGGGAATCACAATTGATGCATGGGCGACTTTTGTTCCGCCAAGCTCTATCAGTACGCCTCTATATACAATCAACGGGCACAAGGGACAGTTAGGTAATGTATTTCCAACCACGCCTAAATGGCGCCAGACAACATTAGATCAATGATATCGCTAATAAAGTCTTTGCAGCTAGTCAAATCGACGTTGAACTTTTGGGCCAGATGTTGGCGTATCTTCTTTTTAGTCATCGTAGTCAAGTTCGATGTAATCAGAATGCAGCGCATAGCAGGTGAGCAGATCTTTGTTGCAACCTATATGGTGGGAAAAATTTCCAACATGCTGTACACTGATGATGCAATCTATTGCGCCACAATGGTATTACAATTTTTTTTAAAAATAATTGGCTACATTGGTTGGGATAATAAGCTCTCCTCCAACGATAGTGAAGTCATGATTAGGGTTTACTACACTCCACTAAGTAGGCCATGGGCGCCACCTGTTTATTAGCGAATTTTGTCTATTTACATTGCATTATAATGAGCCGATTATTATAAAGTTGCCACCCAGTCCCAATGGCATAGCTCTGGTATGCGGTATGCCATTTCCTAGTAATTTGCTCCATGTTCGGGTGAAGACATCCTTACGCAGGTTTTTATGTAGAATGTGTGGTGCTTCAAAGTAGCCTGGGACTTTATAATCCTGCCCAAAAAGCAGGGTGGCCTCAGGCTCCTACTATTCAAAACACAAGCACGGATTATTTTTGCTCAGTTCATGGCTAATGGATTTCTTCCTTGATCTCACTATTGCACTTAGGAGGTAATCTAACTGTGGTTCACCAAATACTTGGCTGATATTGCTCACAGGCTGAGTCAAGATGCTACGATCTTTGCTGGTCTCTGTGCCTGTGAACCCGCAGCCTCCAGATTAGAAGTCTGGCGTTCTTCCATTGAACTAAAAGGGCGGTGAGTTTGGACTAGATAGC